CCTTTTCTTACAAGGAGTGGAATAGACAGAACATGAGAGTTGCATAAGACATTGGTTGGTTCCAGAAAATCATGAGTAGGACTGCATAGGATTAATGTGTAGTATCATATGCAAGTATGAATTGTCACAGCAAATGATGTTCATGTAGAACTCCATTGGAGCCAAATGAAAAACAAAAGGCCCACAGATTTTATATATTTTTAAGATTTTCAAGTTATGAAATGTTGGCAAGATAATCCTTAACCTCAGTGGGAGTAAGGCGGCGAAACCCACTGTCATCACAGATGCCAATTTCAATGTTGTCAGCAGTCATCTGTCCTTCAAACCCCTCCTTCAGGGTCAGAATGGCTGTGTGCACAGCATCTTCTAACTCCAGTTGCTCATTGTACCTGCAAATAAAAGCCATGCACAGGTCTACAATTAAAATGTCAAGAGATGTGATGAGCATCTTAAAATCTGAGAGCAAGACAGGCAATGGTTTGATGGAAAGAAGATAGATACAACAGACTCTCCATTGGGAGTAATTTCATCATCTTCCATTGATCACCAGAGAAACATAGACAAGAAAATCCTGTTTAACTTTGCCTAGCAAAGATATCACATGAAAAAACCAGCTTACTTCTCATTCACTTGGGAAGCTGAAGAACAAAAATATAACCATGATAGGAGAATAAAAGTCTCACCTCTTCTCTAAGAAAGTCTTGCCATTTACGTGGTTCTTGCCCATGGCAGTGGCCTTCCAGGCAAAGTAAGCCCCAGAGGGGTCACACTGAAAAAGAAATGGCCTTCCTCCATCCCATCCAGCTATAAGCAGTGAATTACCAAAGGGTCGCACACCCCTGAAACATACATGAGACAAGATATGTCATTCTTCTACCTCTCTCATAATTTCATTATTAGTCATAAATATGTAGTTATAGTGTTATGACACCCATAAAGCATGGCTGCTAGAGTCTAGTGTAAAAACTGAACATTCATCATAATAAATTATGAAAATACTCATCCAGGGAGAAACCAATACAACTGATACAGCCTAATCAGAATTATTTTGGAAGAACAATTGGGGATAGTATGTTAGATTCTTTATGCACCCAGAAGCAAATTTTTGGGAAAAATGACAAAACCTCCTGTTCAAGCCCAGTTCCTGCAGCCGGTAGGTGCCAACCAAGTCCCAGCATGTAATATTGGGAGAAGGGGAAAAACCACAAATTTTGTAATGTTGTATCAGTGTCACGTATACTCTCAAGAGACACAAGAAGAGGTTATTTCATAAGAGGAGCCCAGGCTTCAAAGAAATTCTACCCAGATGCTCCACACTGAACAACAAAAAGTTTGTGTTCACTCTATCATTATTTTCCACTGAAAAACATGAAGAAAAGCAGAGCCATCNGTTCACTCTATCATTATTTTCCACTGAAAAACATGAAGAAAAGCAGAGCCATCTTCACCCCTGACATGAGAGTCAGTGGCAGGGCCCTACAGCTGGCCAGTTGCTGTCTTGAGACAGTAAGTAGGACCTAGGTCTTAACCCTTTCAAGGGTTAAGAATTAAGAAAACGAAAACTATTTTTTCACAGCTTTTTCTATTGAACAGGCCTAGCTAAAGACAGAGCCTGCAGAAAATTTCAAATATTTACTCAAATATTCAAAAACGAAATTTCTTAATTACAAGAGTCATCAACCGAAAATATTGAATAACAGGCAAATGTTCACAAATGTTCCCTAAAACTTGGCCTTTGTCCCAATTATATATGTTCATTCCTGCAACATGTGGGCATATTTTTCCCTTTTCCAAAAAAAAAATATAAATATATATTTCTTTTTCGGTCAAAATTCCATTTCACAAAAAATAAAAAATATCAGGTCACAACTTTTCTATTTGATCCAGCTGACCTGAACTACAACCTATTTGAATGAATGATGCATCACTGAAGAGCCCTTTTTGAGAGCTATTAAGAGGTACCAAATAAAACAAGCTTTGTTCAATGGTAACTGCAAGAGCAGTTTCAAAAGATATGATCCTTATAATGATCATACGCCATGAAAGGGTTAAACAATCCTCATGCATTTGTGCTGGCTGGAATGGATAACAATTAATGAGCGAATCCAACACAAGGCACATTAAGAATGACCTCCAAATGTTAGGATCCATTATGGGACTCAGGCTTCTAAGGCATTCACTATCGTGAGCTGAATATACTTAACATTTAGCATGCATTCCTGTTACACTCATAAGTAAGGCTGTACCGATCCTTAGACAGGTGATCGGACATCAGTCGATTCAGGTGTTTTCCATGACATCGACGAAACCGATCTTTGGGCCTGCCGATTTTCCGAATTTTTTTTCGCGCCGAACACGCATCGCATCTTCTCTCCCTATTTCGACTTCCCGGCATTTTGTAGCAGGCCTGAGAAAGGAGCTCGAAACTTGAAAGCACGTGGCCATACGAGAGACGCGGTCGAGTGTGCAAGTT